CAGGGGGAGGGGCTGGTCGGGGGAGATGATGGAGGATCAGAGATGGGTCAGGGGGAGGGGCTGGTCGGGGGAGATGATGGAGGATCAGAGATGGGTCAGGGGGAGGGGCTGGTCGGGGGAGATGATGGAGGATCAGAGATCGGCCAGGGGGAGGGGCTGGTTGGGGGAGATGATGGAGGATCCTGAAGGCCGGGTCGGGTGGTAGGATTTTCATCTGGAGGTAGAAGGAGCCAGGGATGGCTGAGGTAGGGGAGTGTCTTCATCAGAACCAAGAGGCAGGAAGGTTACCAGGAGAGGAAGAGGCTTTGGGAGCAGACACCCGGGTGAGATGGGATGTGGCTGTGAACAAGGCCAGAGGGCTGGACCCGCGCAGGGGTCCTCGACTGGCCGTGGCAGCCACATGACCACAGGGCCCCGGCCCCTGACCCGCACTCCCAGCGCCCCAGCCTCATGATTCTCTCTTCTCCTCTGCCCTACTGAGCGCTGCACCTGTATGCAGTTGGTGTCTACTAAATATCTGCGTTGTGGCTAAAATTCAGAGCAGCCTGCATGGGGGGAGGGGCGCAGCCTTGTTTTTTCCCAGTGCCCCGTGCACTTTGCTCATATTCATCCCACGTACACTTCCTGCCGGCTCCTGTGGGGCAGGCGTTGCGCTGGCTGGGGACGCCGGGAGAGTGAGTAGCCACATTGGCCTCCTGGGTCTCAGGGTCTGGAGGGGCTGCCCCCCAAACAAAGGAATCGAAGGTGGCACCAGGGCCAGCACCAGGTTCCACCCTTGAAAGGACTAAGCAGAGAGCTCAGTCGCTCACAGCGTCGCCCTCTAATGCCCCCACGGACCGCCAGGCTGGCGGCTCAGGGTCTGGTGCTCATGCCTCTGCTTCTCTCTCTGGGGGCTTCACTGTTTAACAAAGGCTCAAGCATTGGGCTGGGCTGGGCTGGGCTGGGCCCAGGCGCTGCACTGTTCTAAGTAGTCCCTCAGAGGCAAGTCTCCTCCGCAGAGGCTGCAGTGGCTGGCCAGGAAGGTGGCACAAACGAGGGCGAGAAAGGCGAGGGGTGGGCTGGGAGAGCCGGGCCAGGCTACGCGTCAGCTCCTGCCAGGTGGGACGGCAGCCAGGGCCTGAGGCTTCTGCTTTTCAAGAGAAGCCAGAAAATCCAGGTTATTATATGAAATCTCCACATTTTTAAATCTTGGCAATGAACCTACCATTTACTTCTTTTGAAACACCCTGTGCAGGTTGAACCAAACACCCCCCTATATGTTGCCGTTTGAAACCCTGGCATCCAGTCAATGGTTTGCAGCCATGTCGTCAGGTAAGGAGTTTGCAGCCATGCTATCAGGTGGACACCAGGAGAAGTAAGAGGAAGAGAAGGTGTGAGCTGGGATGGGTGGGGCAGGCAGAGTGGGCTTCCTGGAGGAGAACAGATGGGCTGGAAGGACAAGTGAGACCAAGATGGCTGAAGGGCAAGAGGGAGCTGGAGCGGGGGCTAAGGCCCAGGGCTGGGACTGAGCAGGGGCTTGGGGAAGATGGAGGCTGAGGTCTGGGCCCATGGACTGGGCTCAGGGGACAAAGAGGTGAGATGTGTGAATTTCTGGGCTCCAGAGAAGGGGGAGCGGCTTCTGTGGCTGCTAAGGTAGAATGGGGGACAGACCTGGGGGCCAGAGACCAGCTTCCTCGCCGATTGTGGAGAGGCCCTTTTAGATAGGCCGGACTGGAGCCACCAGAGCCTAGAAATAGCCCTGTGAACCCGGGGCCTGTGAGCTCTCCTGGCAAGTCAGGCTCTGCAGTGTCCTGAGCTGCCACCAGCTGGAGGGGACACGGTAGGTCTGGATGCCAGAGATGCTGCAGTCAAGGGCGTGAAGGAGGCCTAAGACCAGACTCCCAAGACCCAAGATCATTTGTAAGGGAAGCTGCAGCAAGGCCAGAGGCTTCCAGAGGACAGTGGTTTTGTACCCACCGGACAGGTCCTCTGGGAGCAGCAGGCTTTCTCTCAGTGTCCACCAGGGGGCAGCAGAGGGACAGCAGTGCCCTGGTCCAGGGTGCAGCAGGAGATCCCAGCTCCAAAGCCAGGGGCCAAGGTGGGTGACTGGGGTCCGGGGGTGAGACTCGGGCCCTCTCCACCTCGTCATCCTCTTAGTTTGTCCCATATCCCTGCTGAGATCTCTCAAGACCTGCTTCTCTGATTGCCTGGCCCTGACCTGGGACATTTGGTGATGCTCTGTCCACGGCTGTCTGACCCCATCTTTCCCTTGTCTAGTTTTGTCGCACCTGACAGGTATCTCCCAATGAGACAGCCAAGCATGGCTCGCACCCACGTTTCCATGTACTCGACCAGTGCTGCACTGCTCCTCTGGTTCCCCCACCCTAGCCCTGGCTGCGATGACCATGTGGCTTTCTCTGAGGCCCCAGCTGCACGGCGGGCCAACAGCTGTGGGGTTAGGGTGTGGGTCTGCTGTACACACAGGCCTTCTTCCCACAGCTCTGTGAGGTGAGGATGAGGTTGGTGACAGGAAGGGGCCGAGGAGAGGTGTTTGGCTGCAGGAGAGGGGCCTCTGGGGTGAGGAGCCGAGCCAGACCCTCCTGGGGCCGCTCGCAGTGCAGCCTCAGGTCTTCCTGAGCAGAAGCATTGCAACTTTTAATCAACTCCCGGGCCTGCTGCTTCCTAAACTGCGGGAGCTGCCTGGGTTGTCAACGCACACGCTGAACCTGCCCCCAAAGTCGCTGAAGATGTAGAGGGGTGGGAAATGTGGTTCCCGCTCCCAGACTCGGCCTGCCCATCTGTGGCTCCGGGTACACGGGGCTCCAGGGAAAGAAGAGGAAGTCTGTGGGCTGGCAAGTGTGGAGCTGGGTGCTCTGGCCCTTCCTGTCCCTGTAAGGCTGGCATTAGAGGGCAGCTGCTTGCAGTGGGGCTGCCAGCACAGCTGTGCTGGGGACCATAAGGAGGAGGGCCCCAAGGGGGCACGGCTGGACTTGGGGGCTGAGAGCCAGGCCGGAGCAGGAAGTAGCCATCTCCCCAAAAAGCCACTAGTCCTGGTTCCCAGGAAAGGGCCTGAGGGCCGGCGTCGGGGGGCCCAGGGGCAGGGCGGGCACGGGCAGACTCCACTCCCATATCCCCCACTTCCAGTGGCTCCTGTCACTCCTTTATCTGGCTTCCAGTCCCCACATCTGGCCCCACCCACCCAGCTTGCGTAATCGTCACTCCCACCATGCCCTGCCTTTGGGTGGGTCAGACCTCACTATCCCTAGACCCTGCCACGCAGGAGCCAGGCTGGCGTGACCAGCAGTCCATCTAGTGATGGAAAACTTTGTTATAAGATGTTCAAAGACTGCAATCATCACCCCCACGCCCTGCAGCTCTTCGTCTTAAACCAACACCTTGGGATCCAGAGGTGGAGGGAGCAGGAGGCCCAAGGGCAGGGGCTGGGGCTTGACTCCAGGTTGCTTTGTGTCTAGCTCAGACCACCGCTTCCCCGCCCTGTGCAGACCCCCACAGGCTGGAAGTGAGGGTGTTCCACACTGTTCCCCTCACCCCCCTTCCCTTGCTTCCTGGGTGTGCCCGCCCTACCCAGACTTTCTCCTGGAAGCCTCCGCTGACCAGCCCAGTCCGCAGCAAGGAGTGCCCTCAGCTCTAGCTTGGTGGGCTGCACCCCCACCACACCCTAGCATGCTCAGATCCCTGTCCCTTCAGCCAGCGTTTGCCGTTTTGGGGACAGACTGGGGCCAGGCCCAGGGAGGGTAGCGTCTGGCCACCAGGAACTCACCATCTTGCAGATGGACTCGGCCTCCTCGGAGAACTTGCGGGAGTACACCTCTTCGGTCTCCAGGACCCGGCGGTCCACCTCCTCCCGCTTCACCTTCTCCTTGCGGCCGCGGAATGGCGACTGGCCCTCGATCATCTCATAGATGAGGCAGCCCAGGCCCCAGTAGTCGGGGCTCAGGCCGTACCTCTGGTTGTTCAGGACCTCTGGAGCTGGAGGCAGAGGAGAGGAGAGAGGAGTGAAGAGTGGGGAGACAGCTGGTGGCGCTGCTCACTGAAGGCCTGGAGGTTCATGGCTGGGACAGTGGCCGCCACCAACTCCTACTCCACCAACTGCTGTGAATACCACCTCCTCCAGGGAGCCTGCCCTGATGACTCTCCTCTGTGCCCCCGAAGGACTCTGATTGTAGCTTTAGAACTCTGACCACTGTGGATGGAGGTGTCCTGCACTCTTGATGTCCCCTTGCCTAGAACATGAGCTACTTTATTCACTACTGTAACAAGTACGACACCTGGCACAGAACAGGTGCTATTGGTATATTTGTTTCAATGAATAAAGGTGTATCTACTCAAATTAAAGATGATCTTAAATTTATCTGTAATTCAAACAATCTCTTGCTATGTCTTCTCTACCACTTTGATAAAGTGAATTACAGATTCACCATAGAAATACAAAAAAGATAGTTCTGCATCATTAGCACGTATGTCTGGAGGGAAATGCATCCACACACGTGCTGGGTTGCACACAAGAGCCTGGGCAGACAGATGCATGGAGCACTCTGCAAAAGGAGACCCAGGCAAATGCACACACAGGTAGGCAGATCTGTCATCCACCCATCCATCATCTATCCCATCCATCCATCCATCCATCCACCCATGCATCCATCCATCCATCCATCCATCCATCCACCCGCCTACATCCCTATCAATTGTCGATCAGCATTCACGTGGGCACACACACACTTACACACAGACACATACCCCACAGGTTGCCAAATGTCATGCAATCTGAAAAGGGCCCTCTAGCACCAGAGACAAGGTACACCTCCCATGCAGCTGCTGTTGGCACCAGCCTGACCAGAGGGTGGCAGCGTGCCTGGTCCTCGGAGCTCTCTGGGGCCCCTGCCTCTCAGGGGAAGGAGGGTAGGCGTGTGAAATGCACAGGAGGAAGCCCAGGGCGTGCTCCAAATTGGATGGGGGATTCTAGGGCACAGGACTTAACTCTGGGTCTCTTCCCTGCAACCCCCAGGACTCTGGTCTCGGAGCAGACTAAGGCAAGGCATCAGGAACCGAAGGCTGCTCTCTACTGGAATCACGCTCGGTGATGCTGCAGCTGTGCGCGCCTCTCATTTGGGGGCTCTTCTGAATTACCTCCTTCCTCTCAAGGGTCTCTCCTCCTAGACCTCTGCTTCAATGTGGCCTCCCCTAGCAGCACTGTGTGCGAGGCCCCGACCCCTAAGAGTGGATTGGCTTTGGACACAGGTGGGGCTGGGACCTGGGAGTGCAGAGAGCTCAGAGCAGTCATCACATCTGGGGCCCCTGTGCTCCTCCTCCCCCTGGCTAAGGCCGCCCCCCAGCAGCCCCGCAGAGACTGTGGCTCTGCGTGTGATCAGCAGTGCACAAAGAGGCAAGAGGCTCTGCGGGCAGGCTCTGGGGGCTCGGCTGGCGGTGAGCAGGGGCGGCCCCAGTGGGTATCGAGGTGCGTTGACAGAGGCAGCCCAGCACTCACCCATGTAGCCAACAGTGCCCACCCGGCCGCGGATCAGGTCTCCCTCGGGGATCTTCACAGCCAAGCCCAGGTCTGAGATCCTAATGTGGCCTGAGGGGGACAGCAGGGTCAGTGGGTTCCCAGGACAGCCACATGGGCGCCGGGCCTTGCTGTGTGCCCATGGGCAAGGCACACGAGCTCTTGGCACTCTCTGAGGACAACAGGGACCCCAATCTGCCATCTCAGGGTGACCACAAGACCCTTGGGAGAGTGCAGGTGTGGGAGGACACAGGAAAATGCCCACTCTTCAGGAGTGGAACATAAAGATGCCATAGGATGCCTGGACCCGGCTGGACGTTGACCGACCTGCCTAGTCAAAGGCTGAATGGGCCTCTTGGACGGCTGAGGTCACAGAGGATCTTGGCTGGGTTCTGGGATTACTTCATGGGAAAAATGTGAGGTCTTGCTGGCATTCTGCAACAATTTGCTTAAGGGGAAAACATTATAAAACAATTTGGGAAGCAGCTCCCAGGCCTGCCTTGCTGGTCTCTGGAGGTTGGTTGTTTTTCACTTTAGAGAAACTAGAAGGGAAAATGTCTGGTCTGACCCGGCAGAGCCTGGAGATGAATCTGAGCTCACAGCCCAGCACTGACCCGAGAGTGGGAGACGCCGAGCTGAGCTCCACTTCGGTCTTTGTCCCTCCCGCGGCCCACCTGGGCAGGGTCACAGCCACAACTTACCCCTGCAGGAAGGAGCACGTCCCCTTCCCTTCCCTGCCTATGGGTAGCAGGGCCCCATCCCCACCCCTCCAGCCTAGATGTCAGCAAGGGCCAATGTCGAGACCCCGTCAGGCTGTAGCTGCGTGGACTCCCTGGCTCGGTGGGAGCTGACAGTCAGGACAGCAGAGGAGCAGGGTGGGCTCTGTCCTGAGACCAAGGGAGGCACTGGGCTCCTCCAGAGACGGCAGCAGGCCTGGGCCCTCCGACCGCCCCTCCACAGGGCAGTATCGCATGCAGACCTCTCTTCAGGTCATCAGCGACCTAGTTTCTCCCCTCCCTCTACTGGGGACTGCCAGGGTGTGGGGCCTGCTGGCAAAAGACCCAGTTTCTGCCCTCGGCTCCCCACTGATGCTGCTGGGTGACTCTGGCAGGATGGCTCCCCTGAGGCTCAGTTTTGTCATCTGTAAAATGGGCACAGAGATGCTGTCTTAACCTTCTCTGTGCAGGTGGGAAGATCTAGTCAGATCAAAGGTGTGGAAATCACCCAAGCACAGTGGCTCACGTCTGTAATCCCAGCACTCAGGGAGGCTGAGGCGGGTGGATCACTTGAGGTCAGGAGTTTGAGACCAGCCTGGTCAACATGGCAAAACCCCCTTTCTACTAAAAATACAAAAATTAGCCAGGCATGGTGGCACATGCCTGTAATCTCAGCTACTTGGGAGACTGAGGCAGCAGAATAGCTTGAACTCGGGAGGTGGAGGTTGCACTGAGTTGAGATCACACCACTGCACTCCAGCCTGGGCAACAAGAGTAAAAGTACATCTCAAAAAATAATAATAATAGTAATAATACAAAAACTAGCCAGGTGTGGTGGCACATGCCTGTAATCCCAGCTACTTGGGAGGCTGAGGCAAGAGAATCACTTGAACCTGGGAGGCAGAGGTTGCAGTGAGCCGAGGTCATGCCATTGCACTCCAGCCTGAGCAACAGAGTGAGACTCTGTCTCAAAAAAAAAAGGTATAGGAACTATTTTCCAGGTGTGAGGCTACACAGCTATGAGGGTTACTGTGGTTGTTCTTGCTATTCAGTGCCCACAGCCAAGAGAAAATAATGATGGTAATGCACAAACATAATGCCTAAGACATTTACAGCTGGCTAGACTGACGAGCAACTCCCTCTCAAGCTGTCTGTAGGAGCCTCGCCACAACCCTCTTCCCTCTGGGTGGGCAGGGCAGGGCAGGACACTTTGCTTCCATTTCACAAACAAGATGAAAGGTGGAGAACTTAGTGGAAGTTAAGTATTTGCCCAGCGTCTCTGAAATTCTAGACTCCTTGCTCAGTGTGCTATAGAGACCGCGCCTGGCCAGAAGTTATTTTAACACTTAGAGCCTTATGATCAAAGGGAATTTAAAAAACTCTGAATTTCTATGTCTCTCTGAACACTGCCTGTTCACCAAGCAGGAGCTCTGTCCATGCTCACAGCTTTCTCTCTTCCCCAGGTACCCAGCACTGAGCAGTGGGAGTGGGGCCTGTGGTCAGTCTCCCCAGCTCTCTCTGAGAATCCCTGGGAGGCCCTTTGCTTTCTCTGAGTTGCGACGCTCACCTCAGCTATCGAGTAGGAAAAGACTTACCATAATCATCTAACAGGATGTTTTCAGGTTTCAGATCTCTGAAAGGAAAAACAATGAGCATCAGAGTGTGGGCATTCTGGGCAGGTAGGATGCACTGCCATCTGGTTGACCCCTCGGGCTAACCAGGCCTAAGTGGCCACAGGGTGTTTCCTTCCCACCTTGTGGCTCAGGCTGTCCGCTTTGAGTCAAAATGATCTTCAGCTCATTTCTCTCCTTCCAGTAATTTAAAGCAACACTGCTGTTTGCCACAGGCATTTCCCAACCCTGGAGAGTGACTGGGAAAGTTAGGAAAAGGCCAGTCATGGCCCCTGTTCACATATCAATGACTCTAGGGCTGAGGATACTTCTGGTGGGGTAACAGAGCCCCTCCAAGGCTGGGAAGACCCCGCAGGTCTCAGGAAGCCCTGAAGGCAGAACAGGGCCTGGAGTGAAGGGAGCTGCACAATTGGGAAGAGAGGATCGAAGGGGAGAAGGTGGGGGTATGGGAAAAAGACCCCCTTTGGGATGAGGCCTGCAGGAGACTGGCACACTCCCCAACTCCAGCTACACTACAACGCTGGAGAAAGCACAGCCACAGGGCACGGCGTAGGTGTGGCTGCCTTATCCTGTCCCTAACGTCTCTTCTCTTGATGATGGAATCTTGCTCACAAGAAGGGGAGCCTCTGCATTCCCAGGATGGGGGGAGAGCCAGCAGAGGAGCTGGTTTTATAGGAAAAAGTCTTCCCTATGGGTAAAAGAACAGCCAACAGGAGTGTGTGCAACTCATTAAGCCATGGGGCGAACAGTACACAGGATCTGGATGGAGGCTCCAGTTCTCAACCACTCAGCTTTGTTTATTTAACTGATGGCAGCTGTCCTCATGCAGAGTGGTTAATGTACCCAAATCCAGCCAGTGAGCCTCATCAAATGATAATTGGTGTTTGTATATCCTTATTTATCACAAAATACTTTTGTTGCTGTTGTTATTTAAACGGCATTCTTTTGATGTGTTAACAATTCCAAATAAGGGCAGGAGCCATCATCTCAACAAGCCGGCTGCCAGCAGGCTAGCAGGGCAGCTCACTAGTGGGCACTGGTCAGAACCGAGCACAGAGAGAGGCCGTGGCGAGTGGTCACAGTCAGGGAGGAGGTACTGTGGTTCTTTTTGCCCTTGGAAGAAGAGAAGCTGGAACTTGGAGGGCTTTCTTTTCTCTTTTTAAATAAAAGGCAATCAAGCAGAGAATTCTTTGTCCAACCCTTAGGGAAAATTTTCCGACTCTTCACTTGAATGACAACAAAATAGAAACATAAATGGGGGGATGGTATGGGGGGAAGGCCATGTCATCAAGACCATTCTTTCTTGTTTTCAAAACCTTCCTGGTCCCAAGATGAGCTCCACTGTAAAGGTCTTCAGACTGGGCTGTGTGTTGGGGTCTGCCAGGACCAAGCAGGAGGTTCCCTCCTGTCCGAAGTTTTAGGGCTTTGGATTTCTTTGCATCAGGATGCTCTGTCCTGGCATCTTTTGGGATCGCCCTCCCACCTCCCCCTTCTCAATAACTCTTCTCCCAAGTTACAGAAGAAAAGCAGCTTCCTCTCCTCCCGAGTATGACTGTAGCGACCCACTCCAGATGTCAAAACCCCCGGTTCCAAAGGACTGATTAGAAATGAGATCTACTTGGCTGGGCACAGTGGCTCACGCCTGTAATCCCAGCACTTTGGGAGGCCAAGGAGGGTGGATCGCGAGGTCAGGAGATCGAGACCATCCTGGCTAACACGGTGAAACCCCGTCTCTACTAAAAATATAAAAAATTAGCCAGGCGTGGTGGTGGGCGCCTGTAGTCCCAGCTACTCGGGAGGTTGAGTCAGTAGAATGGCGTGAACCCGGGAGGAGGAGCTTACAGTGAGATTGCACCACTGCACTCCAGCCTGGGTGACGGAGCAAGACTCTGTCTCAAAAAAAAAAAAAAAAAGGAAAAGTTATTTTATTTTATTTTGAGACAGAGTCTTGCTCCGTCACCCAAGCTGGAGTGCAGTGGTCATCTTGACTCACTGCAATCTCCAGGTTAAAGCAATTCTTTAGCCTCAGCCTCCCAAGTAGCTGGGACTACAGGCACGTGCCACCACGTCCAGCTACTTTTTGTATTTTTAACAGAGACAGGGTTTCACCATGTTGGCCAGGCTGGTCTTGAACTTCTGACCTCAGGTGATCTGCCTGCCTCAGCGTCACAGAGTGCTGGGATTACAGGTATGAACCACCACACCTGGCCAGAGAAGTTGTTTTAACACTTAGAGGCTTATGGTCAAAGGGAATTTCAAAAAAACGTGTGTGTATCCATATATTTGTTTTAGGGCCTTCTGGTCAAATGGAATTTCAAAAACTCTTATATGTATCCATATATTTGTTTCAGAGATGTACGCTCATCAATGAAAGACTTTCAGGCAAAAAATATTATTAACATTCTGGGGGGATGGAGAGAGTGAAGGAAATGATAGAAAATTCCTCATCACTAAAGAGCTTTCTGTGCAGTTTTTGGATAAATGCAGGTGCAAATCAATTCGCTATAGCGACTAGAGATTCCACTGCATCCCTTGAAGAGTGTAATGTAACTGCTCAATTTCAATATATCAAAAATTGTCACTATTTTCAATATGATGGAATATTTCAAATGTCTACGTAAAATGCAGTGTCACAGAGATTTTCAAAATTCTTTCAGAAGGACTGGGAGAAAAATCTGAAGGGCACTGCTCCTTGTGAGTGGAATCTGGACCCCTGGCCCTACAATGTCCAGGTCCCTATAGGATTGAGGTCGGGGGGGATAGGGGGTGAAGACCAGAACAAGCTGAGGACAGTGTGGGGTGGGACAATGGGCCACTCTATTCTGCTTGTGGGCAGTGACCCCACCCAAGTCTTCCCAGGGCTGATCCCAGATAGCGGCCACCAGGCCCCTTCTGACCTTCCCTGGGTGCTGGGATGGAGGCAACTGGAGGGAGCAGTGGTCACGGCCCGTTCTCCTTGACTTGAAGGAGTAGTCAGTTTCGAGAACATCATTTCACTTGCTTGACTTCCCTAAACTTTGGAGGCTGGAGAACACGAGCCAGAGGGTGGCGACCTCGCTTCCTCAGTGCCGGGGGCCCCAGGTTCCTGGAGTGGAAAGTCTGTTCGACTCTCACCCTCCCCTGGTGCTGACCAGGGCTGATTCCCAGAGCGATGGCGACCACCTGCCTGAGGGTGCGGAGGCGCTGGCCCCACCCTCTCGGACTTAGACTTGGAAGGCCTCAGTGCCCACCACTCACCGGTAGACGGTGTTCTCGCGGTGGAGGTCTTCTAAGCCGCAGAGGATCTCTGCCGCATAAAACAAGGCCCGCTCCTCCTCGAAGCCGGGGTTGCCCATGTTGTAGATGTGGAACTTCAGGTCGCCCCCATTCATGATGGTCAGGACCAAGCACAGTGCATCCTTGGTCTCGTAGGCATAGGCGAGGTTGACCTGGGAGCACAAGAACAGTGCCACGGGGAGGTCATGAAAATGGCCACTCACTTCCGCTTCCCTCCTCAGGATCCTGGGAACTGGGGTGGGAGGGAACAAAGGGGCCTCACCCTGCTCCCCTGCACCCAGATGGCCTCTGCAGTGACCCTGTCTACGGCCTCCTTGGCTGATAAGGGGCTCACACCAGCTCCTCCCATTCAGTGGCTCAAGGTGAGAAGGCCAAGGTAGGTAGGACAGGCTGGCACCCCGACCTCCCAGTGAATCCAACAGGATGGCGTCTGTGCTCCCTCCACAGAAGCACATGTGTGCATCAGCTGGAGAAGACTGGATGGTGCCTTGTTGGCCAGTCAGAAAAGCAGGGCTCACCTGCCCTTCTAGCTGTGGAAGCCATTATCACAGGGCCAAGTGAAGGTGAGCTGGAGGGGCAGTGGGGCTTTGGGAAGTGGAACACAGCCTGGTAAAGGCTTTCTCTTGCATGCAGGATGTGCCTGGTTGATATGGTTTGGCTCTGTGTCCCCACCCAAATCTCATCTCGAATTGTACTCCCATAATTCCCATGTGTTGTGGGAGGGACCCGGTGGGAGATAACTGAATCATGGGGGCAGTTTCTCCCATACTGTTCTTGTGGTAGTGAATATGTCTCACAGATCTGATGGTTTTATAAGGGGAAACCCCTTTCATTTGGTTCTCATTCTTCTCTTGCTACCGCCATGTAAGAAGTGCCTTTTGCCTTCTGCCATGATTGTGGGGCTTCCCCAGTCACGTGGAACTGTAAGTCCATTAAACCGCTTTCTTTTGTAAATTGCCTAGTCTCGGGTATGTCTTTATCAGCAGTGTGAAAATGGATTAATAGAGTAAATTGGTACCAGTAGAGTGAGGCAGTACTGAAAAAAATACCCAAAAACGTAGACACGACTTTGGAACTGGTAACAGGTAGAGGTTGGAACAGTGACGGGCTCAGAAGATAGGAAAATGTGAGAAAGTTTGGAACTTCCTAGAGACTTGTTGAATGGCTTTGCCCAAAATGCTGAGAGTGATATGGATAATAAAGTCCTGGCTGAGGTGGTCTCAGATGGAAATGAGGAACTTGTTGGGAACTGGAGCAAAGGTGACTCTTGTTATGTTTTAGCAAAGAAACTGGTGGCATTTTGCCCCTGCCCTATAGATTTGTGAAACTTTGAACTTGAGAGAGATGATTTAGAGTATCTCACAGAGAAATTTATAAGCAACAAGGCATTCAAGGGGTGACACAGGTGCTGTTAAAGACATTCAGATTTAAAAGGGAAGGACGACATAAAGGTTTGGAAAGTTTGTAGCCTGACAATGCAATAGAAAACAAAATCCCATTTTCTGAGGAGAAATTCAGGCTGGCTGACTAAATTTGCATAACTAACAAGGAGCTGAATGTTAATCCCCAAGACCATGAGGAAAATGTTTCCAGGGCATGTCAGAGGTCTTCACAGCAGCCCCTCCCATCACAGGCCCAGAGGCCTAGGAGGAAAAAGTGGTTTTGCAGGCTGGGTCCAGGGTCCCTGTGCTGTGTGCAGCTGAGGCTGAAACGGGCCAATCTAGAGCTTGGCTGTGGCTGAAACGGGCCAATCTAGAGCTCGAGCCATGGTGGAAACCCTAAGCCTTGGCAGCTTCCATGTAGTGTTGAGCCTGCGAGTGCACAGAAGTCAAGAATTGAGGTTTGGGAACCTCCGCCTAGACTTCAGAAGATGTGTGCAAACACCTGGATGCTCAGGCAGAAGTTTGCTGCAGGGGCGGGGCCCTCATGGAGACCCTCTGCTATGGCAGTGCAGAAGGGAAATGTGGGGTCAGAGCCCCCACACGGAGTCCCTACTGGGGCATGGACTATTGGAGCTGTCAGAAGGGGGCCACCGTTCTCCAGACCCCAGAATGGTAGATCCACTGACAGCTTGCACCGTTTGCCTGGAAAATCTGCAGACACTCAATGCCAGCCCATGAAAGCAGCCAGGACGGAGACAGTACCCTGCGAAGTCACAGGGATGGAGTTGCCCAAGGCATCAGCATGATCTGGATGTGAGACATGGAGTCAAAGGAGATCATTTCAGAGCGTTAAGATTTCACTGCTCTGCTGGATTTTGGACTTGCACGGGGCCTGTAGCCCCTTTGTTTTGGCCAATTCCATCCATTTGGAACAGCTGTGTTTACCCAATGCCTGTACCCCTATTGTATCTAGGAAGTAACTAACTTGCTTTTGATTTTACAGGCTTGTAGGTGGAGAGGACTTGCCTTGTCTCAGGTGAGACTGTGGACTGTGTATGGACTTTTGAGTTAATGCTGAAATGAGTTAAGATTTTGGGGGACTGTTGGGAAGGCATGACTGGTTTTGAAATGTGAGGTCATGAGATTTGGGAGTGGCCAGGGGTGGAATGATATGGTTTGGCTGTGTCCCCGCCCAAATCTCATCTTGAATTGTACTCCCATAATTCCCATGTGTTGTGGGAGGGACCTGGTGGGAGATAATTGAATTGTGGGCAGTTTCTCCCATACTGTTCTCGTGGTAGTGTATAAGTCTCACGAGATCTGATGGTTTTATAAGGGGAAACCCTTTTCACTTGGTTCTCATTCTTCTCTTGCCACTGCCATGTAAGAAGTGCCTTTTGCATTCCACCATGATTGTGAGGCCTCCCCAGCCACGTGGAACTGTAAGTCCTTCAAACCTCTTTCTTTTGTAAATTGCTTGGTCTCAGGTATGTCTTCATCAGCAGTGTGAAAATGGACTAATACACTGGTCCACCTGGCAAGGGGCCACCAAGAGAGAGGGGTCTAGTCCTCTCCTGGTGGAGTCCAGACACCCAAGGCTCTGTGAAGCAAGGCCATGGTGGGGCGGCAGGGGCAAATTATGCCAGAAGGTAATCCTTCTCCATGTAGGGAGGTGGCACACATGAAACCCGGCCATTGAGGGCCAGGCTAGGAACTGGCTGTGCCATAACACTGGTGCATCAACATCAGCTATTTTTGAGGAGAGGAGACAAAATGACAGCTGAGGATGAGTGAGCTCATGGGGACCGTGCTTCTGCTGCAACGGCTACAGCTATCACCTTCCTCCCACATCTGCCCAGGTGATCACTGAGAAAGGGCTCCAGGAGGTGACACTGTGGGAACTCCCTGCCAGGGGCCGTGGATGGGGCACAGTTAAAGAAGGTACAGCCATCGTGACTGAAGGCTGTTAAAGACGTGCCGCCCAGCTTTGTGAGTCACACGATCCTCTTCCCCGAGCAGGACCCACCAGCACCATCCGCGGCCAGAGCCAGCACCATCCCTTCAGAGACAAGGCTCCGCAGGCAGCATCCAGGGCTTCCTGCTGAAGGGGCTGGTGGTGGGGAGGAAGGTTCTGGACTCAAGGAGGCCCGTGGCTGAAATGATGGCTGGAGTTAGCCTCATCCGCCTCATCTCCACATACCATGGGACTGCCCACACCTGCACCCCAGACAAGGCTGGCAGCTGAGGGTGGCCTGGGATGAGATCCAAGATGCAAACTTCCATCCTCTTGGACTGCCACTGGTCTGTAGTGTTTTTTGTTTGTTTGTTTGTTTTACGAAGTCTCACTGTCGCTCATGCTGGAGTGTGGTGGCACGATCTCAGCTCACTGCAATCTCTGCCTCTCAGGTTCAAGTGATTCTCATGCCTCAGCCTCCCAAGTAGCTGGAATTACAGGCGCCCACCACCATGCCCAGGTAATTTTTGTATTTTTAGTAGAGATGGGGTTTTGCCATGTTGGCCAGGTTGGTCTTGAACTCCTGACCTCAAGTGATCTGTCTGTCTTGACCTTCCAAAGTGCTAGGATTACAGGCGTGAGCCACCGTGCCTGGCCCTCTAGTGGTTTAAAGATGGAAAACAATTTCCATCCATGGGGACTGACTATATGGATTATGCTTTATCTCTTCAGGAGAATGATGCCCAACTTTAAAAGGGGCATGAATTAGAGGTCTGGATGGAGAAAAAGATCTACAATGTAAGGGAAAAACATTCCTCCACAAGAGGTACAGAATATCCCATTGGCTAAAAATAATAAAGCCTGTACATGAATAAAACATGTCTGGAGTGATTAATCAAAGAGGGAAGCTTTTCGTTTTATTGTGTATCCTTCTGTGCTGTTTAAATTTTTACCTTGTGTATATATTATTTTTAATGTATGCATGTATTTATTTTTAGAGATGAGGTCTTGCTGTGTCACCCAGGCTGGGGTGCAGTGGCATGATCATGGCTCACTGCAGCCTCAAAGTCCTGGGTTCAAGCAATCCTCCTGCCTCAGCCTTCTGAGTAGCTGGGACTACAGGCATGTACCACTGCACCCAGCTTTATTTTTTATAACAGCATGTAGCAGAAGGTATTAGAGCTGACCAAATATCCATGCACTTCACATTTCCCAGCCTCCCCTGAAACTAACTTGTCTCTGGTGTTGACTGGTTCTGGCTGGCAGACTGTGGGTGAAATTGAGGAACATTCGTCCAGGAGAGGTAGTGGAAAGTCTCTGTGTGGAACCCCTAGCACTCACTTTCAAGGCTCCAGACGGGGCAGCTGTTAGATGGAGGTGGTTGGCCCAATCTGATTGGACTTCAGGTGAGTGACAGATGAACCTCTGCTGTATTCAGCTACTTAGGGTTTGGGGCAAATTTGTTACCTCAGCAGGGCCCAGCCTAGACTGACTAACACAACATACACAGACTTGATAGTGCCATTCCAGGATGCTGGTACTAAGGTCCCCAACATGATGGCACCAGCCTAGAGGGTCTGTGGAACCCACAGCTCCCAGGCTGGGCCCAGGTGAACTTGCTTTTGTCCACTGAGGAGTTTACAAAGTGGTCCAGGAGAACAGAGGCGTCAGTCTCACACACAGCAGGGAGGCAGGCACTGGCTGGCTCTGGGGATGGGACAAAGCCAGCCACAACCGACCACAAGAGGCCTTGTGATGGAGGACTGTCTTGCTGCCTTTCTGTAGCTCAGCCCTGTCACTGGCATTCCCCTTCCCTGGGGTGGGGACCTGCCGCATTAGAGGACCACACCCTTCCGGAGGGAGGGAAGCCCCAGTCCACGGAAGGGCGAGCCGGTCACTGGGCCCAGATGCTCACTCACCACAAACTGACTGTTGACCTTCTCGAGGATCTGCTTCTCGTTGAGGGCCATGGACTCCCCTTTCCTCTTTTTGATCCTCTTCTTCTCCAAGCGCTTGCAGGCGTACATTTTACCCGTGGCCCGAACCTGGCAGGCACAGACCTGCAGAGCAAGAAAGAAACCAGGGTGGCAGGAGCACTGTGGAGGCCTGTCTCTAGCTCCTCCAGGGCCAGGACCACAGGGCTCCCAGGTGGAGAATGGATGGGGTCAGAGCCGGCCCTGCCTGGCTTCGTGGGTACTCCAGGCTCCCAGGACCCCATGATGCCTGGCCTGGGACCCACGGCTGTCCTGGGCCCTTGCCCTCCCTCCTCCTCCCCTTCGAGGATTCCCAGTCCTGGAAGGGGCAGAATGAGCCACTCACACCAAGGCTTAGATAACTGACTGGGGCCCCAAGTACTGTCCCATTCCCAGGGCAACTGAATTTTCTCCTAGCAGCTGCTGATAGAGAAGTTTGTTTTGGGAGTAGGTGATAGGAGATCCTCAAGAACCCTGACTTTATAATCCAGATAAGTGGGAACCAAAGCATTTGGGCTCAAGTCTTAGTTCTGCGCCACATTTTCTGTGTGCCTTTGGCTGGGTCACTGAATCATTCTGGACCTCAGCTTCCTGATCTCTAAAATGGGAATAACAAGTCTTGCCTCACGTGCTGGGAAGATCGAAGATCGGATAATGTACAACGAAATCTCGAATCTTGCATGACAGCGTCATCCAGGCACTGAGCAGCCAAGGTTGCCCAGCCTCCTCATGCCCTCACATCTCCTCCCCACACACGACCAGGGTGGCCCATTTGTCCCCTGCAGGCTGGACCCTGCCCGAGGCTGGCGGGAGAGCCCCTCTGTCTCACCTGCCCAGCTCCACACCCTCCTTCCACCTTAGACACACCTGATAGCCCCAAGGCCACTGACTCTCCCTTACCCTCACTGCCCCCGGGGCCCACACTGAGCCGCTGGCATCCCCGGGGGACCCCTGCGCTGACCCTTTAGGTCGATCCAGAAGGGACAGAAAAGGTGACTTGAATATAAGAACTTTCAATTAAAAACGTGAATGTTCACTCACCTCCCCGAAGCCCCCTTTTCCCAGCACTCGGTACTGCCTGAAAGTGTTTTTGGTCACCGGTTGCCTGGAAGAAAGAAGAGTCCCACACTGCACACTGGTCTCATGGTGCCAAGACTCAGAATCCACAGGAAACAGCGGTACATTGAGAGCAGCTGGGGTGGGGTGTCATTCCAGGAGCCCCACAGCAGCCCCAGGGACCCCCCCCAGGAATCAATGCTGGAGACTGGACCTTCAAGGACTTAGTCTGAAGCTGAGTGTTCAAATCCCAAGCTCCCCGGCCCCCAGCCCCCTGCAAGCTGGGGGATGCACAGGCCTCGCTTGCTCAGAAGGCTTGAAAAATGTGAGCACAGAGGTGCTTGACCACACTTTCCACGTGGTTCTCCTCTCTCTGCAAATCATGTGGTGAAACTCAGAAGCAAGCTGTGCCTTCTGTGCAGGGAGGGGTGGGGGCCAGGCGCCGCAGAGGACCAGCGGCCCACAGAGGACATGGAGGAGGTCACAGGCCTCCCTACACCTGTGCATCTCAGCCTGCCCAGCAGGATGGCAGTGCTCCCTGTCCTGGGCACAGCCTATTCCTTCCTGCGGGCACTCCTGCTGCTGGCCCAAGAGACCTGGCCTCAGGAGGGGGCAGAGGCTGCTGGTCTTCAAATCGTGTCCTGGGGATCTTTACCACTGGTTCCCAACCTTTCCACCACTGAGGACCCTTTATTATATTTCCCACATAGATGAGGAACATAAGAAGATCCTGCCTGCCAAGATCGGGCTGGAATGATCGCCTTGCGTCTTCCGACTCCTCGTTTTAATGAGCCAAAGCCATTTATGACATTGAATCAGACAAAACTTCTGATTATGAGGCATGATGGCACTTTTTGGACTAAACAAAGACATGGTCCCATCTAGTTGCCACAAAGGACATCCTGGTGCAGAGGGCTTGTGGTTTGCATTGCTGGTCTGTCTGGCTACAGATAATTAGCTTAAAACGTGAAAATTGGTTCTTGGCTCTCCAGGACTATTTTTGAGCACTGCCCCTAAACTCCTCAAAAGTCCCGACCAGGGCAGCGGTTGGCTAGAGGCTGAACAGGGCCAAAGAACTGGGTCAGCTGAGGACGACCAGGGAGCCTTCAGTCACCCAGCAGCTCTTGAACGAATGAGTCTTTCCTGGAAATCACATCTGCGGCACTACAGCCGCACTCTGAGGACAGCCCCGAAAAGCCAGGGTACTCTCTGGCACCCTGTCTTGAATTTGCATGCCACGGCTCACTTCTCCCTTCAACAGTGCTTCCTCAGGATGCAGGGCCCAATCCTCACCGAAGCACAGAGCTGCCCTCTGCAGGTCTCCCGCTCTCCCGCACAGGAGCAGCTGGGCAGCCAAAGGGAAGACCTGCCACATGCCTGCCTTTACCATGTGGCCCTGGGAAGCCTTCCCTGCAGCCGCCCCCGAAACCACATGAAGGCTACCCGCCTAACAGTTTACGATGCATGGAGGAGAAACGGTTGGTCGGCATCTCCAAAGAACTCCTCTGCTGGGGGAAATGAGTGGAATGCAAGTTCCCAGGAATTTCTTGGTTAACCTTGGGAGGAAAAAAATCCCTCGACTATTTCAGCAGTGCAGCACGAACAGGGCAGGATCTTGTGCAGGGTGCTATCCATTATGTAGGACATTCATTCCTAGGCCAAGGTCCTGACCTACAGGCTCCAAAAACTTAATGCCTTCAAAAGGGTGAACTCTTAACTTCTTTGCAATCAGGCCACAGATTAAAAAGGACAATTTCTCCATTTCATGTGCTTGGTGCAGATAAGAAAAAGGAAAGCCAGTGACCACTGACAAAGGCTGCTATGGGAACTGGAGTGCTGGGTGGACCAAGGGCCGAGGACTTGGGAGGGGGACTCTGGGTTCAGGTTCCAGCCTTGCCAGGCGCTTGCTGAGTGGCCCAAGGCTGCTCCAACTCCTCTGAGGAAAATTATCATGAGAAGGCCTTACATCCTGTGGAGGGCTCTTTGTAAACTGGTGTTGTGTCAGATGTCATTATTTGAATTCCTAGGAATAAAGGACATACCCTGCTCTGGGGTCTCTATAGTAACAATACCTGCTGCTCCAAGCATGCATGGGGGCTTGTATAATCCTCACACCAGCTCAGGGAGCAGGCATCATTATCATCCCGATTCTGCAGATGAGAACACGGAGGCTTCAAGAAGTGAAATGAGTTGCCCAAGGCTCTGGCTGGTAGTGGTGGGCTGGAGTTGGGGTCTAGGCAGCCCATGCTGCGTATCCTGACCCCACACTGCCACTCTGGGAAGGTACGCACAGATTGGGGTTGTGTGTTTCACAGCCAGGGCTCCAGAACGAGACGTGGGCATGGTGAACACAGTTCCACTAGACTGCCCTGTAATTGTCAGAATCAGGACTGACCCTCCAGCAAGAGTTGGCTGTTCCTCCCAATATCAGACCTGGTGAAGTGGGGCTAATGGCAGTGATGCTGTTGATGGCGGTGATACTGATGATGGTGGTGATGCTGTTGATGGCAGTGATGCTGTTGACGGCAGTGACGCTGACAATGGCGGTGATACTAATGATGGTGGTAATGCTGTTGATGACAGTGGGATACTGATAACAGCAGTGATGCTGATGATGGCGGTGATGCTGATGATGGCGGTGCGGCTGATGATGGTGATGATGCTAATGATGGAGGTGATGCTGATGATGGTGGTGATGCTGATGATGGCGATGATGCTGATGATGGAGGTGATGCTGATGATGGTGGTGATGCTGTTGATGGCGGTGATGCTGATGATGGCGGTGATGCTGTTGATGGCGGTGATGCTGATGATGGCGGTGATGCTGTTGATGGCGGTGATGCTGTTGATGGCAGTGATGCTGTTGATGGCGGTGATGCTGATGATGGTGGTGATGCTGATGATGGTGGTGATGCTGATGATGGTGGTGATGCTGATGATGGTGGTAATGCTGTTGATGGCAGTGTGATACTGATAACAGCAGTGATGCTGATGATAGCAGTGATGCTGATGATGGCAGTGATACTCATGATGGCGGTGATGCTGTTGATGGTGGTGATGCTGTTGATGGCACTGATGCTGATGATAGCCGTGATGCTGATGATGGCGGTGATACTGATGATGGCGGTGATGCTGTTGATGGTGGTGATGCTGTTGATGGCTGTGATGCTACTGATGGTGGTGTGCTGTTTGGTGGCGGTGATGTTTGTCAGGTGTGTGATGCTGGTCATAGAGGATGAACGGGTGATCGTATAAGAGATGGCCTGATGATTTGGTGTCTGAGCGGTGATGCTGATATGGTGGTGGATGATGAGGTGATTGCGAGATGTGGATTTGTGAAGTGGGTGTCGGCTTTGGAGTGATGCTTTGATGGCTGGGGAACATGTACACGTCGTGCTGTATGGTGTGATCTGATATTGATCTAGAATCGTGTACTGTGATGGTGGGATGGCTGTGGGTTGGATGCTTCTTGATGGTGATGCTGTTATTGGCCACTGATCTGATGAAGCGGCTGATGCTGATGCTCGGTGCGTCATCTGATGATGCGCGGTGAATGCTGTTGATGGTGGTGATGCTGTTGATGGCTGTGATGCTACTGATGGTGGTGATGCTGATGATGGTGATGCTGCTGACAATGGTGGTGATGTTGATGAAGGTGGTGATGCTGATGATGGTGGTGATGTCGATGAAGGTGGTGATGCTGTTGATGGCGGTGATGCTGTTGATGGCATTGATGCTGATGATAGCAGTGATGCTGATGATGGTGGTGATGGTGATGATGGTGATGATGGTGGTGACGGACGCAACAACTGCATTCAGCAGTTTATTTCCTGCGGTCAAATGGCTGAGCTTTGCGGAACACCTGCCTTGTTCCAGCAGGTATTGTGCTTATCTTATCTCCCCCTCAGCCCAAGCCCACAATGCAGGCACAATCATCCCCATTTTACAAATGAGGACACTGAGGTGTGGAGACGTGAGTGAACCTTTCTGAGGCCCCTCCTTGGGAAGAGGCAGAGGCCGGACTCGGACCCAGGCTGGGGGCTCTGGTGCCTCCAGTAGATGTCTAGGCCAATCCTTTGCCTCTCAAGCTGTCCTGGAGCCATGGTGTGCCTGTGCAGGGTGGACAGCAGCCATTAAGGAGGCCATCTCTGGTCACGCTGTCATCCCCACTAGTCAGGTGGAGAGAAAGCAGCCGTCCATGGCTGCAGAGCCCAGGGCTTTCTGCTGGGTTTCCGGAAGCAGCCAGGGAAGGGCTGTGAACGGGGCTCAGAGGGGCTCCTGGCCTGCAGCTGCCTGAGTGTCTACGGGGGACGCAACCAGCTGTGGGGCTGGCAGACAGCAGTGGATGGCTCCTTTCTCACCAGATGCCCCCAGATGGCCGTGCGTGCCAGGCCTCTGGGCTGTGGGAGGGGAGGCTCCCACCCTCGTCTGCCAGCTTAGCCCAGCATGGATTTTACACAGGCATCGCCCCGCTCTGCAAATCCTGGGCCAGTGAAGGTGGCAGAGCACTGCGCTGGGGCCTCGTCAGCAGCACTGCTGGCTTCCTGGGTGACGAGCTCAGTCAGGTCCTATGTTCTGCTTCCTCATCTGTCACAGTGGGGACACAACTGCCCAAGTCACAGCCACACATGGGCGAGTACTTTGAAGAGAGTAAGGCGGCAAGCACACAGGAAAAGATGCTTGGTCTCCCCCATTATTAGAGAGACAAGAAAATAAGCAACAAGGAAGCTGTCCTGCTCGCTCACTGGGTAGGAAAACACGAGAACAGTGTTGGTGAAGCTGAGGAGCAGGCACTCAGGCACTGTTGCACTGGAGGTCAGGGGCAGCTGTTTTGGATGGCAGCTTAACAGCACTCACAGTTTAAAATCAGGTGCCTTCTGACCCAGAAATTCCTCTGCTAGGAATTTCTCTGGATGTACTTGCAGAAGTACTTAAAGATTTATGTACAAAGCTACTTATTACTTAGGGAGGGCTGCACACAGAAAAATGGAGAACTACCTCAGTATCGACCAACAGGGCACTGGATTAAATCAAGGATGTGCAACTACTCCAAGGAATATGGCAGCTGTTTATTTGCTAGCAGAGAAAGAGTTCCCAAAGACAGTGAAGCAAAAAAGTAAGAACAAGATGCCGTTTACGTTTGTGTGAATGTGTGTGTGTGTGTGTGTGCACTTGAATAAGCATACAGCATTTCTAGAATACACAACTTAATTAACAGGAGGAGTCGGGTTAATTTTGTTTTAACCATGAGCCCATGGGAGGTAACTGATTTTTATGTGAATTCTCAGATGAAAAATGTGTACCCTCTGCCTCCCTGATCTGTATGGGGTGTTGTGGACTCACCTTTCCAACCACTTCCACTGGAGAAAGCGGTCAAAATACATGCTGTCCAGATATTCGTGGAATGGTTCTCCCCTCAGGTACTCGTGGACAGACCTGGCGCAGATGGAACAAGAGGATGAACATTTTATAATCCCGATCTTCAAGCACGGAGGCAAAGCTGTATCCAGCTTTGGAAACGCAAGGAAACAGGGCTCTCAACCCATGCAGACGCAGCACGTCTGGCCAGAGGTCCTGCCATTCTACTGAGCGTTGTGTGAACCTGGTTGGTCCTGCCAACACTTGTTGGGCACCTGCCATGTGTTGGGTACTGTTCTAGGTCCTGGGATACAGCTGGGAGCAAAGGCTTGGCATTGTATGTGGGACACAAACAGCGAATAGCAAACATGAAATAAACAATCCCAGGGGTATGTCATCATGAATGAGTTCGGGGGGACTGCGAGGGTAGAGGGGTCTCTCTGAAGAAGTGACCTTAAGCTGAGAACAGACGAAGACTTAACGAGGTGCAGGGAGGGGCTGGGAGTCAGGGGTGGTAGGTGGTTGGGGGAAGGGTGGGGCCACAGCCCCTCAGAACTGCAGCTCTGGATCTGGTCTTGGACTAGCAAAGCCACTGGGAGTTTTTTATGCATGCAGCGGAATTTACTGGTCACCTGCTGTGGGCCAGGCGCCAGGTTGAGCCCTGGGATGCCGTGGATCTCTATGGATCTTAGGCCATCAGGGCAGGTTCTGAAGCTGCCTGCAGGTAGCTTCTTTCCTTTAGAAAGTGGCCACGCTGAGTAATCTAGCACAGGCACTTGGGGCCTGGGCAAGGGAGGGGACTACGGCAGCTGGTGCACGTCAGAGGCTGTGTCCTGCCAAACCTGAAAGCCATCGTTGGGAGCCAAGATGGCCATTCCCTCAGGGTCAGCGTCACCAACCAAGACCCCACCCACTGCCAGATCTGACTCCTGGGCAGCTCCAAGAGAGCGGCAACCAAGCTTGCTCTGTCTACCAGGGCCTCTCCCCAGCACCTAACCCAGGGCTTAGTCCCAGGACAGCCCTCCCAGCTCCCCTCTAAGTGTATGCAGGTTGCTGTTTTTCTTGTATAAACTCCATGAAAGCCAGGACTGGGTTCTTGTTCACCTTGGTATCCCCTAGCATCCAGCACAGTGCCAGGTACACAGTAGGTACTCAATTGATGTCTGTGGTGCTGAATAAGGGCACACAAAAAGCCTCTAGGCTCATCCAGCTATGTGGGGTAACCTGGCTTTGGAGAGCTTGCACGAGCGTGTGTGTGTGTGTGTGCACCTGCGTCAGCAAGTGTGTGTGCACTTGTGTGTGTGTGTTTGTACTTGTGTGTGCTCCTCGGTGCTCATGCCTTCAGTGTATATGTGTGCAGGATGGGGTGGGGTTTAGTTGGTACTCTGCTGGCAGCATGGCCATCGACTCGTCTCACCCCCTGCGGGGTGGATGTGCCACCTGCAGACAAGGTGACAGGGTTCAGCTGAGAAGCGTCCTCTGCATCAGTAGCACTGGCTCTGGTTGGTGGTGGTGGTGGGGATTGAGGACCCTGGGAAAGATCTCCAAACCACCTAGACAGGGTCAAATGTTTGCACATTCCTCTGTCTCAACAGCCTGGAGAGCCACTTGCTTTCAACGCCCTTAGCAGCAGATGTTTTCTTTGGACTTGGCATCTCGATATCTTTTTCTCTTCATGGGAAGTATACAAACAGTTGGTATAACTTGGCTGACGCTGTCAGGCACGGAAGACCTGCCCCAGTGCCCTGTACGGTCAGGTGGAGAGCTGTGGCATCCCATCTCTGGGCAGCCCAGGGAGGACAGGCCAGGTGGCTGGGGCACTTACTGTGCACAGGCAGAGAAGAGTTCTTTGCACGGCTTCTGCAGGAGCTTCTCCTCCGTCTGGGAGACCAGGTCTCGGCCAACTTGGGCTATGAAAACAGGGGACTGGAAGAAGGGAGGGAAGGGAGGTGGTCAGTGAGGAGCCAGCAGCAGTGCGGCCAGGTTTGCCCACAGGTGTTGGGCCAAGAGCCAGCCAGGCTCCAGGTGCTGGTGTACCTGGCAGCCCGTCTCTGCCCCAGCGTGTGACTGGCTGCCCCTCCAGCCTGCACCTGGCTCAGGGCTACCTGGACACTGGTGATCTGGGGAGGTGGCTGAGCTGGAAGGTGGTGAATGAGCCCAGGTTCAGGGTGAGACTTCTGGCTGTGCCACTTACAGGCTGTGTGACCTCATGGAAGTCACTTGGCTTCTCTGAGCCTCATTCCTCATCTGCATAACATTGATAATGACAGTCCCCATGGCCTGGGCATGTAGTCAGAGCTGACAAGGTGTGCAAATGCTCCCAACCATAAGGGGCTATGCAGCATGACCCAGCCCATCGTTAAGCCCGCAGTGGGCTTGGTGACGCCCCTTGGCCGTGCTGGTCTTTCCTCCGAGGGCAAAACAGAGGATGAACACCTGCCCAGCCTCGAGGTTCATGTGTGAAAGGGTTTGGATCAGGCCCAGGTGGACAGGCAGGCTCAGGAGGGAGGAGGGGTCAGGAGGGGAGGGGAGCTGTAGCCCCGGAGCTGCAGGCCTGGGTTTGAATCCCAGATCTGTAACTTGCAGCTGTGGCCTTGGTCTTAACTGCTCAGCCTCACTCTTGTCAGGAAGATGATCGGGAATAGGAATTTCTCTCGGAGCCAATCAATAAACACTTCAGATAAGGCATTTGGCCCAGATCTGGCCGTAGTAGCCAGCACGAAACAAACGTCACCCCCATTGTTTCTTTGTCTTTCTAGGTTAAGCTGCTGGCCTGAGTATTTTAAGTTTGAAAGGACATTTCCAAGAGTTGCTGTGTCCTACCCAGGAGGGGCAGTCGCATCTGGAAGGCAGCTCCACCCAGGGCAGGCCTCACCCTACCCCGTCCCCTCCTCCTACCATTCACCCTCTGCCAGCTGTTCCCAGGGACTGACTCACCAGCTGGGCTTTGAGATGGGTTTTTAATAAATTACAGGGATAATTGAGAAAATTGCTGGGAGTGGGCTCAGAAAGATAGGGTGTGGACACAGCTCTCTCCCAGGAGGATGCTGAAATCTGAAAGCCTCGCCTCCTCTTCCCTACGGGGCTGATTTGCTAAGTCCACCGGATGGTTTCTCAGGGCGGGGAGGTGTCAATCCCCAGGGGTGGAGGGGATGCCCGAGGCGGCAGCTGGCCTGTCCTTCGTGAATGAAATCAGTGGCTTGTTTTCTGTTCCCCACGGTCCTGAATGTCCAAATCCCTTCCTTCCTTCTTTATTTCTTTTCTAGGCCCAGCCTGCTCTGAGGCTCACCCCTGCCCTCAGGGTCTCCCCACTGAGCCAGGCCTGAGAGGCTTTAGCTTCTTGGGGGGCAGCCTGTGGTACGGATGCAAGCTGCCGTGACAGTGAACACCGCTTACCCAAGTGCAGGCCAAGCCACTCCCACCAAACAGCAGGCTCAGAGCACATTTCCCCGTTACCATCAGCAGCCTGGGTAGCGGCTGCTCTCTCCGACCTGCCTTCCCACTCTGCCTCAGGAGACACAGAAGAGCAACCCACAGAGCACGGGTCACAACTTTTGCAGAAAAGATGCTTGATGTCATGGGAGGAGCCCCAGGCCAAGAGCCAAGAGCCAGGAGCCTGAGCTCTGGCCCGGCCTCCGACCCTGGCCACTTTGTGCCTCCGTCTCACCCTCTGAAACAGGAAGGAACTGCCCCAGAGATGCCCAAAGGGTCCTTTGAGATTTGGGCATCGACAACTGGGGGCTTGTGCTTCTAAGACTTAGAGAACTTTCTTGGGAATTCTGGCAGCTGAGTCTCTTGGGAACCCGTACCTCCAGGCTACTTCAGAGCAACTGAATATCACAACAAATCCTGAGGCCCTGGGCAAATCTGCTTCAGGAAGGAGAGCTGATGGCTTGGCCCCCCACAGTCCAGAGGGCCCAAGGCCTGGCACAGAGCTGGTGCTGGCTGTCTGTTCATGAGCAAGACGATACAACGTGTTGTGCCAGGATATGACCTTGAGCCTGGTGCGAGTCAGCAAGGACCAGATAGAGATGTCAGCAGGGTGGGCCATGGGGAGAAACAGAGCGGTTCGAAGGGGGACCTGAGTTGCCCACCTGTGTGCACTCTGCAGGGTTCTGCCTTTGTTTCCACCTAGGGAGGACCCACCCTTACCCACCACAGGCACAGCCTGGTGCCGGGCAGGGGTAGAATTAAAAGAAGAAGATGAAGCCAGGCAGGACTCAGTGGCTCACGCCTGTAATCCCAGCACTTTGGGAGGCCAAGGCAAGAGGATTGCTTGAGGCCAAGAGTTTGAACCAGCCTGGGCGACATAGTGACCGCCTATCTCTACCAAAAAAAAAAAAAATTAGCCAAACATGGTGGCTTGCCTGTAGTCTCAGCTACTTGGGAGGCTGAGGCGGGAGGCTTCCCTGAGCCCAAGAGGTCGAGGCTGCAGTGAGTCATGATCACACCACTGCACTCTAGCCTGGGCAACAGGGTGAGACCCTGTCTCAGAAAAAAAAAAAAAAAAAAGAAAAAAAAAAAAAAAAAGAAAAAAGAGATGGAGCCAGTGTGGTTTTGACCTCAAAATACCTTTTCTCCAGTAAGACAGAAATGATATAATATAAGGTATAATATCCTTATATTATGCCTCTCGGTTCTTATGCCTAAAAGTTCTTATGCCTCTCGGTTGTACTGTACGTGGTAAAGTACAAAACGGGCTGGCTGAAATTCAATGGCTTTCAAAGCTTCTTTCTCCTTGTTTTGTTTGTTTGTTTTAGTGGCAAACTTTTCTCCTCCAAATGAAATTTATTCACAGACCCAATATTTAAAACCTATAAAAATAATTTAATTGGTAACAATGGTTTACATATATCGAAGGCTAACTCTAGTTAGGTCCTGTGCTAAACACATTGCTTCATTAATTCACTGAATCATACCCTGAGGTATCTATTATCATAGTGCCCATTTTGCAGATGAGGAAACTGAGGTTCAGAAAGGTTAAGTAACCCTGAGGTTCTCAGGGTCACCCAGCCAATAAGTGCCTGAGAGGGGATTTGAACCTAGGTTGGGTGTCTAATGAGTGAGATCTGGCTGGAGGGAGTGGGCTGTCTGGGCCACCTGTGCCCCCTCTCACCTTATCCCCTCAGGACCCATGAGATCTGACCCTAGCCCCCCGTACTCTGCAGAGCTCAGCATGAGGACCAGGGTGCTGTTTGGTCCCATAGCAGAGGCAAGTGGCACAGCTCGAGACAATGAGCTCCACGGCTCAGAGAAGGGAGGGGCCGTTGTGAGCTGGGGTCATCTGGGAGAGGCTTTATGGAAGACGGAGTAACAGGCAAAGCAGAATTTGACCCTCCTACCTGCAGGCGGGGACAGCCAACTGGACTCCTTTCTCAGCAGATGTGAGAAGGGGCTTGTCCAGGGTCTAGAGGTGATCCAACTGTGTACATGAAGTCACACCACTCTCATACTTTGGACTGGCTGGCGGGGGATCTCTGCCCAACGGCAAAGCCCTAACAAGGGAGTTAATGAGTGGAAGAAGCAGGGGAGTTTCTCTGCTTGAAGACCCCCTCATGAATGCCTGCCCCTTGTGGCCTTGCACAGCTAAAGCTACCCTGTGGTCAGCCTCAACGTGGGGAGCCAGCCTGGCCCTGCCAGAGTCCACTCTGATGACGGTCAGGGTGACACCCAGCTACCCCTGAAGAGGGCTCCGTGACTATCTTTCTGGGACAGCTGAAGACACCAAGATATGTCCTGGGGACACAGCTGTGTAGCCTGGGGTGCTGGACAGACAGCGCTCTCCCCTCTGGCTGGATGAGAAAGGCCTTGCCTGCCACGAGGAACCGTGGGCTGTGAGGACCCCTCTGGCAATCAGTCCCCACTGCTGAGCTCCCCAACCACTTCTTTGGTGAAGGACCCTCCCCTTCTGGTCCCCACTGAAGCTGGGGAGAGACAGAGGTGACCTTGAAGCTGGGTGCACTTTGACCCGGTTCCTCTGTATAAAAGCCCCCTTCACCTGGAGGTAAAAGGACCTGCTCTGCCTCCCTGTTGGGATAGGAAATTGACCTTGAATCCTCCTCCTGCAATGGAGGAACCTGGAGCCGCACTGGGCCGGGGGAGCCAAAGCTGCCTGCTGTTCCAGCGAGCAGATCAGACAGAGCTCATGCTGGTCTGCAACTCCCTTCAGGACCCACGACAACTCACCCCTTCTTCCCACCTCATCCCTATGGCCCAGACTCACTCTCTGCTCTATGCCACTGGTTCTGGGGATCCAGGCAGTTCCTGACGTCCGTGATAACCAGAATGTACCTTTTCAGGCAGCAAGAGATGACACTTGCCTGGGATGTTTTTCTGGACACCACAGGGCACTGAGAAAAGCTCTTCCCACCACTTGGAACGTAAGTAGGGCAGACCCTCCACCAAAATGGATGAAGTACGCCTAGGGTGGCTTCGCACCTTCACTCCTCTCTAAGCCCCTCCCCTCCCTTTTGTCCTCATCTCACGCATCCTCTTATTGCTGTGACTTTAAACTCTAACATACCACGTAGGTCACCTCTCTCATCTTCTGTTCCATCAGAACAGAAAGCTCTGGGATATCCAGGCATGGTGCGGATGACGTATTGCTGACCAGTAATGATTCAACGCATGGGAGCCTCGGAATTTTCAAAGATGAGACCATCGGGATGGCAGTCTGGTTGGAGAGAAGAGCTAGGGGCCTGTCCTGAAGCTGCGTTTGCATAGCAATGGGTTTAGAGTGAATGGGGTGACTTGCTGGCTAATCCCTTGCCCATAGTACCCCTTGGTACAGCAACTGCACAACGCCTCACCCCTCCCAGGTCAGCTGCAGCTTCACAGGCGCCATCTGTGCTTAACCTGAAGCAGGAAAGATCTGGGGTATTTCAGGTGCTGAGGCAGGCTGGGGAGGAGGGGTGCTGAGGAGGAAG